AAGCCTATGGCAGCCAGGGCCAGTGGCTGGCCCATTACTGCCCATCTTAACAAGGCCATTAACACAGCATCGTCTGCTGCAGGAACTCTGTAATAACTGGGACGGGAGCTGAGACATCCCAGCTGTGCTGTCCCCATCCAGACGGAAGCTCCCAGCACTGGCCTGTCTGAGGTGGGTGGTCACCACATGGTCGGCATCTGGGTACATCCATGGTTCTGGCAAACCCAGCTGGGCGCACCCCTCCCTTGGGCGTCCCGATGTTCTTCCCAGTGGGGCCTGGCCATGGAGACCGGCTCAGGGTCAACTCAGCCTCTTGGGCACCTTAGGGGTCCAGGCCCCGGGCCAGGAGACTCCTCATGATCACCTTCATTACCCCAATTGCAGTCAAGAAACTGAGGCCTCAGGAGGAGAAAAGGCTTGCCTGAGACCACCCGGCTGGTAAGTGGCAAAGCCAGGGTTCCAAGTCTCCTGGCTCCAAGCCCCACACTCTCCCACTTATGCCACCACTGCCTGTCATGTGGCAGAGCTGGCCCAGTGACGATGAGACCTGGGACAGATAGGCCACGATGAGTGCCAGGGAGCCGGTGGGGAGGAGATGGAAGGTGTGGCCAGGAGAGGTAGTCACAGTACAGTCGTGAGCCCTCTTGGAGAGTGTTAACCCCCCAGGTGAAGGTAAGCAGGAAGAGCCATCGCCTGGAGGCCTCCGGGTCCCGCGATGCCCCCATCTTGCCTCACCGCGTGTCAGGCACCAGAACACCTGGCCAGGGGTAGAGGCCTGACAAGATGGCAGCCTGGATGGACAGACCTGTGTTCGAACGCTGCCTCGGTCATTTCCCAGCTGGATGGCCTCAGGCCATGTGACTCTCTCAGCTTCCCTTTCTTCTGTAAAAATAGAGCTAAAGCCTCTCTGACAGCTGTGTTATTGTCATGATCCCATAATCTGGGCAAAGCTCTTAGTGGAGGACCTGGCACATAGGAGTGCTCAGTTTTATTATTACTGTTTATTTAAACATTGCATTAATTTTTATTAAGTTTTAGGGGGAAGGGGTGGGAGCTACAGGCATCCAGTTGTGGAACAAATAAGTCACGGGGATAAAAGACACAGTGTGAAGACTGTGGTTGATGATAGTGTCGTGGCATCACACGGGAACAGATGGCAGCTTCCGCCTGCGAGCACAGCACAGTGTATCAACTTGTCAGGTCGCGGGTTCCACCGGAAACTTTTCAAATAGAAAAAGTAATTAAAAAAAGTAAGTGGTAAATACGTGTATGAAATTTATTTTCTTATTATTGTCACTTGACTCTCAGTGTCTCTTCCCTCAGCTCTAAAATGAGGGTAATAATGTAGCTCATGATGCGATCGGGTGGCTTACATGAAATATGCCTTCATTCATGCATTCCTTCGTTCAGCTGACGTTTACCACGCAGCCCCTGCGTGCTCTGTTCCAGCTGCTGGGGATTGAGCTCTGGAGCAAGACCCACTTCCTGGCTCTGAGTTTTAAATTTTTTTTAATGTTTTATTTATTTCTAGGAGAGAGAGAGAGAGAGAGAGACAGCGTGAGCTGGGGAGGGTCAGAGAGAGAGGGAGTGACAGACTCTGAAACAGGCTCCAGGCTCGGAGCTGGCAGTCAGCACAGAGCCCGACGCGGGGCTCGAACCCACAAACCGCGAGATCATGACCTAAGCGAAAGTCGGACGCTTAACCGACTAAGCCACCCAGGCGTCCCTGATGAGTTTTAAGTCTGATGGGGAGAATCAGACCTTAAATACATGAACGATACAAATAAGTATCATCTTGCAGTTGTGGTGAGTGCTCACAGTACATGGGGTTTAGCACAGCACTGGCATCGCGCAAGGGGGAGGGGGCTTTGCCCATGATTTCATTACAATTTAGGCTTTTAAATATTTCCAGTTGGAGGCTAATAACAATGCTGAAAAGATCTCCCTGTCTTTGCACAGTATTAACTGTAAAAGATTTGCTGCCTTTGGAGTAGCTTTTGTCGTGGGAAGCAAAAGACTGTTTAGATGGAGTTTCTGTCCAGGAATTGCCGGGGCTCACAGTCTGCCCAGGTTGCTGGGGACAGGCCTTTTTGGGGGGACATCCCCCTCCCTGTACCCCCCAGTCCTCAGCGTGTCATGGTGTTGGCTTCTACTCCCATGTCCTGAGGGGTAGTCAGGTGTTGGTGGCTGCATATTTTGTGGAAGGAGTCATGAACACCTGGACAGTAGAATTAGCTCTGATGAAGTAGTGAGTTCCCCATGTCCCCAGGGTGCAAGCAGGAGCTGGGAGGTGGAAATGGAGTGCCACTCCTTTGAAGGAGAGCTTCTCCCAGCCTCTGTTTGCACAACCAGGGCCCCGAGAAGCAGCCCTTGCAGACGCCACAGAGCAAGCCTTCCATGCTGAGGGCGTTATTTGAGAAGAGCGGATTCCCTGTGTGTATCTGAGGGCCAGTGAGTGGGTCAGGAGCCAGACAGACCTGGGCTGCGGTCCCACACACCCACTGTGAGGCCCAGACAGGTTTCCTAATCTCCCTGAGCTTTAGTTTTCTCCTCAACCCTCCGGGGTTGATGGCAGGGTCACGTGGGTAAGGAACTAAGTCCCCAGCTGGTAGTGGAGCCTCTAGTAGCCTCGGTGTTCTCCCTTTTCCCTTAGCCTGCTTCCCAGTATCTCTGCTCCTGGCCAAGTGCTTTTTCTGCCACTTAGTCAGCTGAGTTCAGATCTGCACAGGGCCTGCAACTGGAAGAAAGGTGCCACATGTCCCTTATCCCGTCATGTCACGCTCAGCACCAGAGGGGACTTTGTGTTGTAGTTGAAGCAGTAATGGGATGCTCAGGATTGCCACTGCCGAACCCCTAGGGAGGGAGCTGAATTACGTTTTTACGAAGGGAGAGGAAAGACGAGACCCAAAGCAAGAATACATCTGTGGATCTCTGCCTACCAAGCTTAGAGCTTCCATACAAGGGACATTATTTCTAATTATTAAAATTTTGGAAACATGGTACCACTAGAAAGGAAGGAAGTGGAAATGGCTCCTATTAGAAGTGCTAGCATATGTTTCTGTGATTTAATGGTTTCCCGTAACAATGCGTAGCTATTTTTAAAGCAGACGAATGACTCATGGTATCCAGCACCAGCGGTCCACTGTGATGGCAGGAAGCCTGTGCTGTGGGGAGGCGGGCTTGGGTTCGCCCCCACCTCCATCATTTACCAGCTGTGTGGCCCAGAGCAAGTTCTGCTTCCCCTCTGCATTTCCTTTTCCTCCTCTATAAAAAGGGTTGTTGTAAGGATTAATAAGATAATGAATGTATAAGTCAGCACAGTGCTTGTCCATCCATGCAACATACTCACAACTTTTATAATAAATACCTAATTAACTACATCTGTAGTAATCCTCAGCAGTTCAATAGTAAACTTTTGAGGCTATAAATTTTCCTCTGAGTACCACTTTGGTCAGATCTCAGATTTGGTTAGATTTTGATATGCAGTGTTCTTATTGACATTATCTTCAAATAATTTTTTTGTTTTCTATTTTCTGCTTTTCCTTTAACTCAAGAGTTGCTTATGAGAGAGAGAGAGAGTGTGTGTGTGTGTGTGTGTGTGATTTCTAATCAGTTAGAATTTTTTCTGTATCTATTGTTAAATCCTAGATGTGTGTAGTAAGGTCAAAGAATGTGGGTAACGTGGCATTTACTATTTGGAACTTAATGAGCATTGCTTTATATTCTAATGTATAACCAATTTTTGTTAGTATCCCATGGGTATTTGAAAAGACTGATATTTTCATTTATACATCAACCTTGTTAATTTTGTTACTTAGTATTCATATGTGCACAGGTATGTACATATATCTGTATATCTGTGTATTTTTTTAGATGCATACACACACACATGCACGTGCACACACACACACACACACACACACACACACACATTCTGGAAGAGACATGCCAAAGGCTCTGTCTATAATTGTGGCTTTGTTGAAATCACTTCCTTTCTGGCAGTGTTTTGCTTTATATATTTTGACCCAGTGTTGTTTTGTGCATAGAAATTTGTAGTCATTAGATCTTCTCAATCAACTGTGCTTTTCATTAACATCAGCCAGTCCCTCTTCTTTGCCTTGTCCAGTGTTTTCTGCCTTGAATTCTGTTTCACATTGCTACTCTGCTCAGCCTACCAGTATTGTAGATGTAGTGGCAGTGCTTGTGGAAGGCTGCTGGGAGGATATGCCGTCATTGTCTATGCACAACTCCAGAGAGCCTGGAGTGTGGATCATGCTGTACAGCCAGTCCTCCTCTCCCATCCCTGGCGAGGCGGCTTGTCCCAAATTCCAGCTGGGGTGATGCCAGGAAGCTGTGCTGAGGCTCACCACTGGCCTGTCATGACAATGTTTTCGTATCCCACATTATTTTCTTATTAAGCGCCCTCAGGAAAAGTCTCTGTCCAGCCTTTGTTCTTTATAGCAAAGACTGTTGCTTTTTTTATTTCTTCTTTTGTCTCTTAGTTGATTTATGATTTTAGGGTGTGTGTGTTTATGTGTATGAGTGCATGCCTGCTTGTGTGTGTATAAATAGAAAAATAGACACATAGCTAAGTGAATAAATAAAAAACCAAATTCAGTCCAAATAGTTGTTGTCCCAGTTATGACACCTTGGACCTTTTAAATGTCATCAGTTGGTGAAATATACAAGTATCCATCCCTTTCATGTCCTGTTATTTTCCAGTTGGGTTACAGGTAAAAACCCTTGTGGCTGGAGAGTGTATGAACTAGAAATACCAAAATCTTGCCAGCATTCATTTTGCTTGTTACTCAGATGTTATATTACATTTGAGCCATCTATGCATAAGATTAGTAGTCGGGATTGGAATTGAAGTCAGAATAATATCTGAGTTTTCCATAAGCCACCCTTTATACCTTCTAGCACAACGGTGCTATTTTGTGCTATTTTGTAATGATTCATGCCGAGTGACCTCCATTACTACATATCTTCTTTAATTTTAGGGATCTATCTTCTGGATTTAATTTACATTGATTCTGCATATCCTGCCTCAGGCAGCATCATGGAAAACGAACAAAGATCCAATCAGATGAACAATATTCTCCGAATAATCGCTGATTTACAAGTTTCCTGCAGCTACGGTTAGTACCCCTGGTTGCTGGAATTGTGAAATCTTACATCACTGAAATTTGGATTCAGCACCTCATCAGTACGAAAGCTCTGGAAACCAGGTGGTCCCCACAAAGCTCTTCATTTTAATATCTTGAGCACCCAACGTGTCCAGGACACACTACCCACAGTCTCGATCTTCAAAGATGGTGAAAACTAGATGTTCCCATCTCGGTGTTACAGACAAGGAGGCTGAGGCTGAAGATAGTTTAGTCACTTATCTAAGATCATGCATCTGGGGGGTGGCAGCGCCCAGGTCGTTCTGGCTCCCAGCTCATTCATCCATGGAGAGCTCTGTGGGCAGCCCCTGGGTAGCTCTCCTCCAGGGGGACTCAGGGACCCAGGTTTCTCCCTGTTGTGGCCCCACCATGTCCCCCCTGGCCTTAGAGGCCTCCAGTGACCTCCACATCCATCTGACAGATGCAGGAAGGGAGAGAATCATCCAAGGGTAGGTTTTATGGGCCAGGTTTGCACACAATGCTCATCATTTCTGCTCGGGAGGTTAGGAAACGTAATCTAGCTGTGGGCCTGGAAGGAAAAAGGAAATGACTTGGTAAAAACTAGCCAGGCTCTGCTCCACATGGCCACATCCAAAGTGCGATGGTTGTCGGAGATGAGGTTGAGGAACTGAGAAGTCAAAGTGCTGAATGGGACATCTGTGTGGGTGTTGACTTCACCCAAGATGACGGTGGGCTTGGCTGTATGCAACTCAGTCGTGAACCAGGTGCCCAGGCACTCCAGGAATGGGCAGGGACTACCAGGGCACCAGCCGGGAGAAGTCAGCAAGGAAGAGGAGTGGGTAGTAAAGCTGCAGGGATGTGCCTCCATGGAGCAGGGTTTTTACAAGAAGCTGGAGGAAGAAGAGTCTGGAAGCAGCAAAAGGGGCAGGAAGGAAACCAACCCCACCTGCAGTTCACAGGGCATGAGAAAGACGACAGCCTCCACGGGGAAGGCCACAGGAAGCCAGGCTGGGGCTCTGCAGGGTGGGCTTGCTGAAACGAAAGGCCTGCTCCATGGGCACTTCCAGATCAGTTGTCCTGAGCAGCAGAGCAGCGAGGGGCCTGGGCTCCCCATGCAGTGCTCCCCTGCCCACGCCCTTTTCCATTCCCACGTACATCGGCACCCACTGTCCCACCAGCCAGCAGGGCAGTTACGCACACGGCTTTGGGATCGGACAGACTCAAGCTCATATCTCAACTCTGCCTCCTGAAAAGTCACTTTCTCCTAAGTCTGAGGTTTTCTCATCAGTAGCGGTGGGGACATAGTGCGCAGAGCCCTTAGCGCATTCCAGCATTTCAGTAGAGCTCAGTAAATCCTCACTCCACTGTCACCTTCATACCTGCATCTTCTCCGTCATCAGCTTTGGGAAGCAGGTGTCATTGTCCCCACTTCAGGACAAGAACACAGGCTCTCGAGAAACAAGAGGGTCTGTTCCAAATCTCGCAGTTAAGGGGCGGAGCCGTCAGGAGCTCCTCCAAGCACCTGGACACAAGTCCCCACCCCCTCTCTGATCCTTTACTGCTTCCCCCTCTTCCCTTTTGTTCTTTCCTTCCCTGTGAGGAACAGCAGAGAGGACACAGAGTTTTCAGCCCCCTCAGAATACAGCGACCATGAAGCTCAGTGGAGGACGCCTGACATCAGTCACTCTGGGAACGAGGCTGTGTGGCGTGGCAGAGGCCTCCAGGGACCGGGGGGAAACCTGGCTCTTCCACTCCTCAGTGATGTGATCTTTGCCTGCTGTTGCAGTCTCTTTCTCTGTGCAGTGGGCACCTTATTTCCCCCAAATGAGGCAGGCGTGACAGTTAAAGCAGATGCCTTCTGGAAATCAACTGGTACCTAGCCTGACGCGGCAGGGGCCCAGGCGTCTGGGCCCCTCCCTGCCTTCCCGGGATGGAGCAGCTCCAGCCCATGGGCCAGACACTCAAGCTGTGCTAGGACCTGGGTCGGACCCTCCACGCCGGGCCGGGTGGGGTGTGTTAATTCACCTCGCATTCTTGCCACGCAGGGGGCGGGAGGCTTGCCCAGTTACCCCGTGGAAGCCTGTTTTAGGGCACAAGCACCCGGCTCTGGCCTGTTCTGGAGGCCTTTCCCTCCACAGCCAAGGACCTGTGGTGATTTCAGGGCGTGTGGCCCTCTTCTCACTGGGGGCCTGGAGGTGGGGAGACACTGAAGCCCCTGGGTTTCGTCTGTTCTACAGATCACCTCACAACCCTGCCCCACGTACAGAAGTACCTGAAGTCCGTGCGCTACATCGAGGAGCTCCAGAAGTTTGTGGAGGATGACAACTACAAGTAAGTGCCCACTCCCTCGCCTGGCCCTTAGGGACCAGTGATTGGCTAGTGATGGCACTACATCCCTCGGGTGGCACTGCGCCAGCATGCTCCGCTCAGGCACAGGCACGTCATGTGACCGCTGGCCCCACAGAGCCCACAGCAGTGCCATCTGAGCATCTCCTCCCGCTTAGGTCTGCCCCAGCCACACGGGCTCCGTGTTCTGTCACCTCCTCAGCCTGGCTTTCCCACATCATCAAGGGTAACGTGAATGTAGACTCCATGATGCAAGTTCTGTGCTCTGGGTTCTCATGAGTGACTCCCTGCTGCCCAGCACCCGGTGGAAGGGCAGTATCCTAGCCGTACATCTAGGCTGGCAAACAGAGTTCTCCAAGAGCCTGTCTCATGGACGAGGCAGCTCCCTGTGGCCCCAGCTCTCTGCAGGATTCTTGCCATCTAGCACCAGCCAAGCTCCCTTCTCCTTCCCGTATAGCCCTTTGGAGTACGCTCAGGTCCCGTGGGGAACCCTGTGGGCCCTTTGCCCTCATCTTCCACTCACCTTGCTCTGGTTGTCAGTTCTTCCTTAATTTGTGGCACTTGGGAATTTATCCAGCATGTCTGTGTATTTAGAGGGAGAAGGAGGATTTTTCATATCAACTCTGTCTGCCACATTGATTGGACATCATCTTGGCTCCTTTTCAGCTTGAGGCCAACTAAGAGCCTCAGAGCTTTTCATATGACCTTAGATATCCGGACAAGTCTCAGCCATCTTGTAACTGATCATCCCCTGAGTTGCTACTTTATGGTGCAGTCTTTCCAATCTCCTCATACTGGCTGCTTCCGGCATCCGTGTTCCTTCGGATCCCATTATTCAGTGCATTTCTTTTTTAATCTCTTCCAGTTTCATGTCTGACAGTTTGACCAGTTTGGTTGCTTGGTCTGCATCAAAATCACTGAAAACGACAGAGAACCGTGGTCACAAGGGACACTCCCAGGTTACTCCCGATTCGCTCACTAGAACCTCTGGCCATGTCTACAGTAGCTGTTCTCAGCCCTGGCTGTGAATCAGTCACCTGGGACGCTTTATAACCATCCATATGTTCGTGGGAGAGCCTGGAAATGTGTATTTTCTCAAGGCTCCCTAGGTGGTTCTAATAATCAGCCGTCTTCGGGAGCATTGGCATAATAATGTCGTTAGTTGTTATTGTATAATATTTTACCAAAGCAGAGTTTAATGTGAAATTTTGATCTATTACATAATAGTTAACAACAACAGATGAAGGCCAGAGATTACCATTAAAATTACGTTTGCCACCAATTAAGCTCATTTTACTTACAAAGCATTTGCTGTTCCTGAAAAGAGTACCCTGGAGTGTGAAATTATTCCCACTTAGGTTCTGGGATAATATTTTCCATTCATGTGGCAGTAGTACAATTAAAGAGACAGCAGTTTTTCCTTAACACTAATATCCTTTAAGGAGAAAAATGGTCTATAAATACTTCTGACCATGAGACAATCCTTGGACAAGCTGCAGGTTGTGAGTAATTACTCCTTCCATTCTGAAGGACATTGAGCTCCCCCAGTACTTACCGCTAACAACAGTCAGCCTGCCTGTCACAAAGGCCCTTTGTTGTGGTCCAGGTGGGCAAGCCAAGGGCAGAAGCCTGCACTCCCATCCCCAGGGCCCAGACCACTGGGAGGGTCCCTCCCCAGGGAGGCCCTGGCTCTGAGTGACACAGGACAGGCAGGGCTTGTGATTCTACGTGAGGAACCCACACTCCATGATCCAACTTATGCCCCAAAACTTGCTCCACCCAGAAGGATGCAGTCGCTTCATTATTACCTGATGACAAAGCATTTCTTCATTTCATTTCATTATTTAGAGAGAGAGCGAGAATGGGGGCGGGGGGTGAGAGAGAGGCAGAGAGAGAATCCCAAGAAGGCTTCACGCTGTCTACACAGAGCCCAACGCTGGGCTCAGACTCACAGACTGAGAGACCATGACTGAGCCAGAATCAAGAGTCATTCACTCAACCGACTGAGCCACCCAGGTGCTCCAACAAAGCATTTCTAACACCTTGTCCCCATCTGCTTTAGAGACACTGTGCCAAGGGGCCCAAACAGTGCTTTGTTTTTGACTCTTAGTCTATTTCATTTTATTTAAGAAAAAATTATCGAAATTCCTGGAGCGCTTGGGTGGCTCAGTCGGTTAAGCATCTGACTTCGGCTCAGGTCTTGATCACACAGTTAGTGGGTTCGAGCCCCGCAGCAAGCTCTGTGCTGACAGCTCAGAGCCTGGAGTCGGCTTATCATTCTGTGTCTCCCTTTCTCTTTGCCCTTCTCCCACTCGCACTGTCTCTCTTTCTCAAAAATAAATATTTTTTAAAAATTAAAAAAGAAAAATTACCCAAATTCCTACCACCTAGAAAGCATGACCTTTAGCATTAAATGAACATAATTTTGGACATTTTTTATACATAGGAAGTACATATAGACATAGAGAAGGATGGACAGATGGATGGGCGGAGTGATAGGATTTATTAAAATTGGACCATGCTACACTTGCTTTTTTTTTTTTTTAATTATTTCTAGGAGAGAGAGAGACAGCATGAGCAGGGGAGGGTCAGAGAGAGAGGGAGTCACAGACTGAAACAGGCTCCAGGATCTGAGCTGGCAGTCAGCACAGAGCCCGACGCGGGGCTCGAACCCACGAACCGCGAGATCATGACCTAAGCGAAAGTGGGACGCTTAACCGACTAAGCCACCCAGGCGCCCCATACACTTGCTATTTTTAATTGGACGTATTTTTACTTAACGAGAGACAGAAACTGAAATAAAATGTAAGAAATTGCTCTCTCTTCAAATAAATATTTCTTCAGCACAAATGGTATAATTTCCTAAAAGAGTCTTCTAAGATTAACAAGAGAGGTCAGGAAAAACATGAAGAGGCTTGAGTCAGTGAGTTCTGCTTTCACTGGGTCTCTGCCACTCACAGGGTCAGTTGACTGGTTAGGAAAGATGAGAACATCAGCGTTCTCCCCCCTTCACCTCCCCTTCACTGTTGTCCAGTTTTTTGTTAGTTGTGTTATTACTGCACAGTCCAAATTTATAACATACACATGGTATTCAGGAACCCTAATTCCTACTTGTTAGTGGTTCTAAACAGATTCAATTCTTACCACTTGTGTTCTTCCACTGCTTTTCTATGTAACGACTCCCTTATTTAGCTGCATCTCATCATGAAGCAGGTTTTTGCAAGTCCTGCGTGCTCTGATTTCCCTCGTGAAAACATCCTCAGGTGACGGGGCCTCACCTCGCTGGGCCACGCAGGACTCTCCTCCAGGACTCGTGGACCCTGCTGCATTGCCTTCTGGCACCGGCTGCTGCTGTAGACAGGTCTCAGCCAGTCTGATCCTTTCCTCTTGCAAGTGACTTGTTTTATCTGCCTGTTGGGTAAAGGATGCCTTGAAGTTCAAAAGCACAACGAGAGGAATGGCTCTGAGTGGAGAGTTCTGTACCAAATTTCCATGGAATGTGGCATGCTCTTTATTCAATTCAGATGGCTTCTTTGGATTATCTTTGACTTCTTCTTCTGTGCCATTTCTTGTCTTTCCTCTTTCTAGGTCTCCGGGCATCTATACATTGGGTGCTCTCTGTCTTCCAGGTCCCCTAGCTTCTTTCTAGTGGCTATAATCTCTGTCTTTTCATCGACAGACACTTGGACAATCTACTCATTCGGTCCTTGATTGGTCCCCTAGGACCAAAGGGTCCCCAGGCTCCCTTTTCATCTAACTCCTTTGTGTCATCTCATTTTTCGGGTCTTGTTTATTCACCCCACATTCCGAATAAGCTGTTCTCCTGCTCAAAGCACTTGGAGGATTTCCTTGTGTTCCTCGGGGCTGCCTCCTGGGCTGAGTAATCTGGGCAGGGCTCTGTTCTTTTCTCTCTTTCCGTCTTTGTGTGAGGGGACATTTTGCTAGCTTGCCACACCGATTCTTTTTGCTTGCTCCCATTTTGAGAAGCTCCATCTGGGTATTCCATGGCTCTGATGGAAGATGGTGACGTCTGACCCTGCTCCCACATGTGTGAGATGGGCTGGCTTTTCCTCCTGCCATGCCATGAGGTCGGGGTTCTTAAAGTCTTTCCTTCTTCTGTAGCCTGGGGGAACAGGGCTCAGTCCAAGGAGGCAGTGTGTTTTAGATACCTGGGCTCTATTAAAGGGCCTGCATCAGGGTTCCCTCTACCTTGTACGGGGCTGTATCCCATGCCCTCAGGTTTCAAATGTTTACTTATATTTGAGAGAGACAGAGCAGGAGTGGAGGAGGGGCAGAGACACAAAGAGAGAGAGGAAGACATAGAATCCGAAGCAGGCTCCAGGCTCCAAGTCGGAGCACAGAGTCAGACATGGGGCTCAAACTCATGAGCTGTGTGATCATGACCTGAGCCAAAGTCGGATGCCTAACCGACTGAGCCACCCAGGTTCTCCTGGATTTCCTCAGGTGTCAAATCATCCCCTTAATGGAGCCTTCATTTCCCTCAGATTATCCATCATGCTCTCCACCCATTTCATCCGTTTCTCTCCAACACCTACCGAGAAGCCTCAGACTGCAGGATAGGAGCCGTGCTCTGGGTTATATATCTCAGTCAAACTCTACAATCCTCTTTTTCTTTCCTTGGCTGCACGTTTCCTAAGTTCATGGCTTCAGGTCATGCCCCTTTTCTTGTCAAGTTGCATCTGGCAAGTTCTACTCCTAAGCCTTTATAAGTATTTGTTTGTTTTGTTGGGGGAGGCGGTGCCTGGCATCTGGCTTCACTCTGTCATCTTCACCCAGAAGTTCTTAATCAGTGCTTGAAAAATAGTAACATTGAGGTGCCAGTTCTCATAATGCATCCATTGCCTTGTGCCTCCTGGGGGGTACCTAAGAGGGGGTGCAGTGTGATGATTAGAAACCCTGATTTCAGAGAGTCCTGGGTTTTTTTTTTTTTAATATTTTTTAAAATTTTTTTAAAAATTTATTTCCAGGAGAGAGAGAGAGAGACAGCGTGAGCAGGGGAGGGTCAGAGAGAGAGGGAGTCACAGACTGAAACAGGCTCCAGGCTCTGAGCTGGCAGTCAGCACAGAGCCCGACACGGGGCTCGAACCCACGAACCGCGAGATCATAACCTAAGCGAAAGTCGGACGCTTAACCAACTAAGCCATCCAGGCGCCCCGAGAGCCCTGGGTTTGATTGTCTGCCCTGCCCTTTGCTAGCCCGTGACTTTGGGGAAGCTACTTAGCCTTGCTGCTCCTCAGTTTCCTCATCTAATAGCTGGGGACAGTAAACTTACCAAGTCCACAGGCTTGTCTTGAGAACGAACACGTTCATGCCCAATAGACACTGAGCCACGGTGACTCTTTTGACTGCATCTTTCTTAACCATTGTTTCTGGATCATGGAAATGCCCATAGGGAAGTGGCCAAGATCTGGAGCAGACCCCAAAGTACTCCTGAGCTCTGAGTCTATAGCCCTAGGCAGCAGTCCAGTCCCCCGACTCTGAACGCACATGTGAACAGTCCCCCTCTGATACATGGGTGCCTCTCTGATCTCGTGAAAATCTTCCTTTCCAGACTGTCACTCAGAATTGAGCCGGGAAGCAGCTCTCCGAGACTGGTCTCTTCCAAGGAAGATCTTGCAGGTATTGTAGCCACGTCGGAGGGGGACACACCCATGGATAGCCCTGGCATGGCTGCCAGGCTGGCTCTGACTGTGGGTCAAGCGCACAATTGAGTTGAGGTTGGAAGACTCCACAGTCCTGGTAGCCCTTGTACGTCAGCCTTCCGGGCTCCTAATCCATGGGATGCCACGGGGCTCCCTGAGAAGAGCCTGGGACCCAACAGCCCCAAGAGAGGCCAGAACAGAACCCCAGGCTGGAAACAGGCACAGAGTAGGGAAAACTCTAGGATCTTCTCCGAATCACTTGGACCTGTATCATCAGGGCTGCAGCCTGGGTTGATCTGCCCTGGAGGGACAGCCAGGATGCCCGTGTATTTGGTGCCACCAGACACAGATGGCTTCCCCACCAGTAGGATCAGCTTTATTCATATATTTGGGACATACACAGCATCCTTAGTGATTAAGAAGGTTGGGGACAGGGTTCCCATCAGAGGGACGCAGGAAATAGCAACAGGATTCTAAAGCAGTTGTTTAGGGCCATATAGTAGGAAGCCTAACCATTCAAGACTGTTTCTTCAGGAGGTGATGCCAAAATTTGGGAGCTCGAGTGGGCTTGAATCAAAAAGCATTCTGCCCTTGAGTCTCCTTTAAATTAGTTTGAGGATGAGACCTCTGTCGCCTTCTCTGGATCAGGATCAGCCTTAACAGGATCAGCCAAGTCTCTGGCCTTCCCCAGGTGCCAGGAAGTGCCCACAGCCACCCTTTATCTTTCTGCCCTCTGGACAGTGCCCAAGGATTCAACTCCTAGTGCCCCTTCTGGCCATGTGATTCCATTCCTTCCTCCCCTGCAGCGCTGGGTCCATGTCACCTCTCTCTCCCTGCGTGCAGGGGCCGTTGAGCAGAGAGATGGGAGGGCCCACTGTGAGCGGGAACGAGGTGAAGACCTGCCCGCACAGGATAGCTTGGGCTTTCGCAAGGGACATTGGCCATGGAGGCCACGAGGGGTAAGGCATGGCACAGGAAGAGAGATGGCAGAGGGAGGGTCTGTGCCTTGGCTTGAGGGGCTCTGCCTCTCTCCAGTGACTCTCCATCCACAGACCAAACTCGAGTCTCATCTGTGCCTGAGAGAAGCAAGGCTTCTGGAAAGTTCCCCAACCAGGCCCCTGGCACATATGCCCAGAATGCCTTTTCCTCATATTTCCATGGTCTGCTCTTGCTCTTCGTTCTAAACTCAGAGAGACTTCATTTCAGCCCTTTGTTTCTTTATGACACCCCAACTTGTAGTTATTCTCTTTAGGTGCGGGCCTCACTTCGTTCCTAGTTAGTCTCTGGCCCCGGCATCAGGCTTTGTGCTTCACAGAGGCCCAGCCCACGTGGGGTTCACGGCTGAATGGATGGAAGGGTGGAAGGAGCAGGCCGAGGCTCCGGGTGGTGCACACTGGCCCTAAGGCCAAGAGGGCTCTCATCACTGTAGCCTCACACCTGAGCCTCAGAGCGTGCCCACCCCCCAGTGCCCTTCACGCCCACCCACAGCACAGGCAGTATCAGCCACTCAGGCCTGCAGGGTGCTCGTTCTCAGGGCTGATGGTAGCAGAGGCCTTCCCTTCCCCCTAGGCATCTGTCTGCCCCTGACGGTCTCTTCACTTGACCAGCACCTGCCTCACACCTCCTCCCTGCAGAGGAGATCAGGGCCATACCTCCACCCCCAGCCCAGTTCTGCACCGAGCATCACGGGCTCCCCCTGCTAGGCCAGAAGTTGTAGACCAGGATTGAGGCTCAGAAAACGAACATTGCTAATTGCAGGCCTCAAGAGCTAAGCCTCTCACTGAGCCCCAGGCAGGAAAGGAGGAGCTGCATCGACTTTTGACTCCTGCCTATGCTAGAAACCAGTGCCCGGGGCAGGTGGGCACCTAAGTGGCTCAGCCGGTTAAGGATCCAACTCTTGGTTTCGGCTCAGGTCGTGATCTCACTGTTCGTGAGTTCAAGCCCCGCTTTGGGCTCTGGGCTGACAGCATGGAGCATGCTTGGGATATTCTCTCTCTCTCTCTCTGTCTCTCTTTCTCTCTTTCCCTTTCTCTCTCTCTCCCTCTCTCTCTTTCAAAATAAATAAATGAACTTTAGACACTAGTGCCCAGGGTCCAAGACCAAGCCCCTGGCCCAGCTTCCTCAAGGTTTGCCAGAGTCACCGTCACCTCCCTCTGGCTCTGTCGTTTATTAGCCGTTGAGGCCAGAATCCAGCAAATCAACCAACCACCAGCCTGAATCCTGGCAGGGAACAGATTGCCCCCCACATCACCCCACACCCGGCTCACATGAAGAGACTCTAGCCAAGGTCAAATGAGAATTATGTAAAGAGCAGGGAGGCGCCGGCGCCTCTAGGCTGAGAGACCTGGGAAAGCAGAAGTGTCACCAACTTCAGTGATGGCTGAGCTGAGGAGGACTTGGCATCCCGGGGGGCACACAGAACAGCCGGCATACCCACCAAGCCTCAGTTTCCTCATCTGTAAAGTGAGCATTGTAATGTCTCCCTCACAGGGTTGTTGTAGGAATGTGTTGAGACCACACGTGTGAAACACAGTGCCTGACACTGAGCACTCGCATCAAGTGTGACGTTATTAGGATGATGTGATTGTCGTCAGTGTCATGGTTGTGCCTCTGTCACTGAATCAGCCTCCGGGTTTTAGTGACACGCTGCTGCCTCAGGGATGCTTTCCCCCCACCGGACCCCCGCCCCCCAACCCAGGTCAGGCCCCTGTTAACACCGGGGCTGGTAGGCCGTGGCCCGAGTCCAGCCCGCCGCTGTTTGTACGGGAGCACACCACACCCATCCGTTGACATTGTCCGTGTTTGCTTTCCGTGACGGTGGCCGAGCTGAGTAGTTGGGACAGAGACCCTGTGGCCTCCAAAGCCCAAAATATTCACCATCTGGCTTTTTACAGAAAGTCTGCCAACCCAGCGTTGCACACTCTTGCAGGCACGGTCTGTGCCTCTCACAAGCACTTCCCTCTGTGGGAAGGACACAGTTACCTGTGCCTGTCTGTCCCCTTCCCCGCCACACCGAAGGCCCCCTGAGGTAGGGCCCCAGCCAGCGCCTCGCCTGCCCTCGCGTCTCCTTCGGGCCTGTTGATCTCTGAGCTGCTGGCTGGGCCCCTGCGGGCACAGGGCTCTGGGAAGCGGCTCCAGGGCCGCCGACTGCTGACTCCGCGCTCCCTGCCGGGGGAGTGCTGACGCGGCAGATTTCACACGGTGGTGCGAGCCCGGCTCACAGGAGTGTTTTCCACCAGTTTTCCAAAGCCCTGGCTCCCGCCCTAGAAGCAGGATGTTAAGGTTTTCATTGATCACCAGAGAGCCCGGGAGCGTCTGGAAGGCTTCCGATGCACTCAGTGGTCCTGGCTTCCCACCCGCGGCCTCGACGCCTCTCCCAGGCCGGAGAGGCTGCTGCCGCCTGGGACAGCCGAGGGGTCCTGCGGAAGGCGGGACCGGAGGGGCAGCTCCCAGGAGGCCTTCCCCCACCTGGCAGTCAGACTGGGCTGCGTGGCAGGACCCCGACCAGGCCCAGGGACAGGAATGTGCCTCTCGCAGTCTCAGGAATGGGAGGAACGCGGCCTCCCTTGGCTCCTCAGGATGGGAGTTCGAGCTACAGCTCTGGACTCCCTTTCCAGCAGTCAGGCACCCGCCCCCATACCTGCCAAGGAGAGGCCCCGAGATGCGTTCATTGGTTTTTGCACTCTGGACACACGTGCCAAGGGCCTGCTGGGAGCCAGACACTTGCAGTGAACTAGGCACCCAGTGGAATGAGGCAGAGACCTTCCCACATGGAGCTGAGGCTTTAGCAGGGGACACAGGCATCAGAAGCCATGAGGGGATAGGGCGCGGTGCAGGAACGAGCCCTAGGAGGCCAGCGTGAGCGAGACCAAGATGGCCGCTGGGCCCCCTGACCCTCCTGTGCGGCCTTGCCTGCTTCTGCAGCTAGCTCACCCACCTCGGGCACTGAGACCTATGCCTCTAGCGTTGGGAACAGCCGGTCGTGGGTCCTTCAGAGGCCGTGGTTAGTGCCAGCATGGCCCAGAGCTGATGCTGGGCCGTCTGTGTCTGTGAGAGCCCCCACGCCCCACAGAGAGCTGCCCCCCTCCTCGCTGGGCAGTGACTGTGCCGGCAGCTCCCCACCAACAAATAGACTGTGAGAACGGAAATGGAGAAACCTTCTCAGTTTCTGGGCCGTGGAGGAAAAGGGCCAGGAATGCCACGTTTTCAATCCCCACCCTCCTATATGTAATGTTTCGTTTATATAAATGAACTAATATTTTCCTGGAGAGCAAAAATCATAAAGAACGTTGACCCCCAGAGAGGGCAAGTAATGTTTGTGTGTGCCTTGGAACTGATGAAGACATTTCCAGATTCTGTTAGCCCCGCCTCCACGTGGCTGAACCAACTGACAGGTTTTCTCTCAGAGGCCTTGGCAGCAAAGCAAGGCCATGGAAAATCTCCGCACGGGCCCCGGCCTTCTGTACTCGCACCTGCAGAACTGCCCTCCACAGACCTTCATCCTCTCCCTTGTTTCACTGCCTCTTGGGTAAAAGCCCGGCCTTGGAGTCAGGCAGACCTGAGTTCAGAGCTGGGCTCCAGCACTTCCTCGCTGTGGCACCTTGGGCAATCGGCTTAATCCCTCTGAGCCTCAGTTTTCTTGTTGGTGAAACGGCGGTAGGAATCAACACTTCACGCAGGCTTACTTGGCGGGGTGGAGGCTGGGCCGGAAGAGCCCTTAGCACAGAGCCCGGCACGTGCTCACCACTCAGGATTTCTGGCTCAGGGCCCTCACAGGGCGGGCCTGATGCTGTCCTGATGGAGGGACAGCATGACATAGAGCAGGGGACAGGGAGCCAGAGGGCCCTCACCTCAGGTCCAACTCACCAGTCACCAGCTGCACCCGGTACCGCTGCTGCCTAACCAGCCACCCTGGAACCTGGTGGCACAAAACCACCATTCTGTTACATGCACAGGTTCTGTGGGTCCGGAAACAGG